AAATAATTTAAAATTGAGTATATTTTGACATTACGAATTAACAAAATAAAATTAAAATTCTTTTTAGGTGTTCTAAGCTGTGTATCTTTAGACTGTCTATCTACTTAAAGATTAAATGAAATACTATTGACAAGGCCACACACGTTTCGTGATCTTGTAGGATTTTAACTCGCAATGTTTACGCAAACATACGTCACGATTTAACATCTTCGAAACTAAATGCGTGCTACTCTAAAAATACGCTCATGATTTATTTAGTTCTCGAGGAAGGTTAACGGACGAATATCTTGATATCTTCACACATACATTGCAATGTGAGTTTCTCGAGGCACGAGCTTTTCGAACCTCTCCCGCCCATGGGGTGACGTCTCATGCGTGCGAGTCGCGATGAAAGATTCAGAACGATTATTCGGATAGTGAGAAGCGGAAAGGCGGTTAAAGTGCTGCCTAGAAACATTTCCAAGGTGCAGAGCGCGTATGGTCACGTTTTACGGGCTCTTGCTCGCAAAGGACTCATGATATCGTCCAACTGGGACTGTCGATTTCCATATCAAACGTTCTGAAACGCCAGCGATAAAACCGCTCGGAAATAAAACGCGGCACTCGAAATTCTGTCCGGCGACGGACAGTAATCGTGAAACCGCGATTAGAACTTATATACCAATAAATAAATTCTCGGGAAAACTTTGCTCGATGGATGAGCGATATTTATTATATTACCATTTTTCGAGATCTTCTCGACCACGTTAAGTTGTTAAATGTTAGTAGTTGAACGATAATAATGTCATGATTCATTTTGAAGTTTACCGTGAGAGGAATTAAATTATCCTAATTGAATGCTGTACTGAAAAAGCAATTTTGCTAAAGATCTAAGAATTTGACTAGAGATCCATAATTTTGTTGGATCATCAAAATAATTTTTCAGGAATTTTAGCATAATGAGTAATGAGCTGCAAAATGTTTTAATATTCTAGCAATCCAGCAACCAATTTTTTCGTCCACACGATCACATAATTGTTTTGATGATCCAGCAAAATTATTTTTCTATGGAAGACAGATCTTTATCCACGCAGCATTCCACATTATATTTCGCTCTCAATATTCTCGAGCAACGAATCAGGCGCATTTTTACCGAGAATTTTTATTCCGAACGTGGCACGTTCCAAATTACCAGAGTAGTCGGAGGAATTAATCTACGTCGCTTTACAGCGCCGCATCATTGTAATAGCACGTCGTTTCCCTTAATTATGCCAGCGACGTCGAGAATCGTAGGATCCGTCGATCGTTAAACGAGATCGCTGCGTTCTCTCATCCGTATCTTCCACCCTGTTTCGTTCTCTTTCATTCGAGTTCGACCACTATCTCTCGGACGTGTATCTTTACGAGGATAGTATCGTGAGTATAAAAGCGGAACGTCCCGAAACGAGATGAGATCTCAGGCAGCTGCGCGTCGAGAAAATTCAACGGGATGCTGCCCGATGAACGGACGAGATCCACGGATTTCGATAATATGAAAATAGCGCGAATTTTTACGAGCGCGGCGAAATACGAAACTGCTCCATCGCTTCCCGTCGTCTCTCAGGCGTGTGTCGGGCGTGAAGCCGTGATGTCGATAGCCGGGAAATACGAGGTGTCACTCGGAAATTTCGATTGCCAACGCGAACGCGATACCGCGGAACGTGGAAAAGACGCGAGAAAGCTCTCGGAATGGACGGAACGCAAGTCTTGGGCGTCCAATACGAGAGTTTAAGAAATCCTAAAAAAAAAAGGCAACTCTTTTTCTTTTTATCCCCACTTTGATGCAACGATACACACGCAAAAAACGATTTTGCTAATCGCAGAAGTATCTAAAAATTTATTTAGATATAAATCTGAAAATAATTTTGTTATATCATTAAAATAATCATACACAGGATTGTTGTCTGAACTAAATGGTTATTATTTCACAACAGGTAGACCAAACAAAACAAATGAAACGTTATTTTGTAGAGAAAATTTGTCAATTTTATTTGGATCGTTTGTACAAGCCAGTTTATGGGTGTCAGCATGAATGCACAAAATGGCGTTTTATTTGTTTTGTTCCATTTGTTGCAAAATAATAACTGTTTAGTTTAGATACAATCCTAACGATCACTCTGTGTACTCAAATATGATGAGCATTTTACAAAAAATTTTGCCATTCTAGTAACCAACTTGAGTGTCCGACGTAATTTTGATGGTCTAACAACATTACTTTCAGATCTATCTAACTAAATTTTTAAATACTTCAACAAAATTAATCTTTCCACGCAACCAATGAAATCGTTCATCCAGCGACGATCTTCCTTGAGTATATATTAGAATCGCTGTGCGACGAATAGAATTTATCTGTCAGTTATTTAACACAATCAACAATTAAACACCCATAAAGTTTAAACTAATGCTCAGGAATAAAATAATCCCGACAATAAGTTGGATGGCGAAGGTATCATTGACAATTCTGTCACATATAATCTGACAATAAAAGTCACATTAATGATGTATGTATATAGAAAGAATGATTTTGCTGGATACAGACCTAAAAATAATTTTGTTGGAAAACTCAAACTAGTTGCTAGAAAATGTTCCGAAGCATCACTCATCATTTTTTAGTTTCCAACATAATAATTATGTTGGAAACTAATATAAAAACTTTTTGAAGTATTACATGTCATTTGCTAATTTTCAACATAATTATATAGTAATAATGTTAGAAACTAAAAAAATGACAAGCGATGCTCCGAACAATTTTTATATTCTAACCAGTTTAAGTTTCCAACAAAATTATTATCGAATCTATATCCAGTGAAATTTTAGATCTTTCAGTAAAATCGTTCGTTCCATATAATTACAACGACGATAAGACATTATAATAAAAAAGGATCGAGCGTCTCAAAAACGTGAGAAGAGAATAATTAGAACCGCCTTCGCCTCAAAACGCGTCCAGACGATCGCTTCCCGGCTATATTTAACGTATCCTATTCTACATACGAGCGAATACTCGTTTGATCGTTTATCTGCGGAATCGAGAGACGCAGGTAAATAAACTGGTATCGCAGTTAGAGCAGTAAGACGAGAAAGAGCTGTAGCCGGCGGGAGAGTCTAGCCCGCGGACGCGTGTGATCGGGACGCGTGCACCGCACGCACGCCCGTGTGCCGCACGCAATGCAGGAAGGTAAAAGGCGTAGGTGGATGGATCGATAGAGCAGGTGGCAGCACGTCGGTGCTCTCCCTGGTTCGCTTCCGGCGCGGCGGAGTGTCATTGGACTCTCTCAGCCGATCGAACGATTGGCCTCGGCATGATTGCGAGAAATAATAGCAAGGCTAATTTATACGGAGACGTGGGGCGAAGGGTAACGCAATTATCAACGATCACGACTCATTAAGATGCGACGCCGTCCTAGATGGTTTCCCGTGACTTGACTTCCCGATGAAAGAGCATGAAAAGTCGAATAGTACACAAAAAGGACCGTTTTGTTGTTAAAGCACTTGTCTAAAAATGTAGCTAGATATAGATTTGAGAGTAGTTTTATTAGATCATCACAATAATTCTGTAGAATGCTTAAAGATTGATGATGAAATAAGTTAATTTAAGAAAAGAAAGAAAATCTACGTATCATGTAGTACATAAAAGAAATTTAGATCGTGGTAACGTCGCATTTTTACAAATAGACAATATAGTGACAGGCACAAACACCGAAGCACCGCTGTCAAAATATTTATATAAAAGATACAAATATCCGCATAAATAACGATATAAAGGAAAATATATTAAAAGTAAAGTTTTAGTAAGAAAAGAAAAATATAAAGCGGCTCTTGCGAAGAAACGACAAGAATGGTATAACCTCACTCTTCATGAGAAACGAGATATATCAAATCTATGTAATGGCAGTCGCATTGTAATGACAATGGAAAGTGCGATGTTGCCATAGTAGACTTCGTCAATTCTCAAGAGAATGTATAAAATCACAAAACAAGATTTTTTATTGATTCAAACTTTAATATTATACGGTGAATATTTGCGATCTTGTTATACATGCTTCTTCATAAATTCAACTACATGAGATTCGTTTTTCATTAACTTCTTGAATGCGGTTTCGATGCTACATGAAAATTCATGTCATATCACGACGGAAATAGCTATATTGCAATGGTAAATATAGAAAAATCTGCGAAGTTGGATCGGTTATATCTCAGGAACGGGACGGTAAATCGAGTTCAAATTTTACAGGCATATTAATAATACCTGAATTGCTTGAAACAAAAGTTACAAGACATTCTTGAATAATGTATTTTAGAGTATAACTACCTTAACAAGTATTACCAAACGTGATTGATTATATCATTATGTTTGCTAATACTTACTAAAAATATTTAAGTAGGTAAAATTATTTTTTAATATATTAACCAATCGTTTGATTGGCATTATTTCACTCAATATTTAGTGACTTTTATCAGACTCAATTTTTGATGTTCAAATCTGAAAATAATTTTGTTAAATCATCAAAATGTAGGATGCTCAAATATGATAAACAATGCAAAAGTTTATTTTTAAATTCTAACAATCAGCTTGAATGTTCTACATAATTATTCTGATAGTCTAAGAAAATTATTTCGCATCTAGCTAAATTATATCAGGCTAAATTTTTAGATATTTTAACAAAATTATTCTTTCCGTATGAAAAAGCAATCTTAAGAGTTTAAATTGAACAATAAGTCAAAAGATATTTTTTTCCAAGGTTTCTTGCAAAAATCACCAGGAAAAAGATTCGATCGAAGGTACAAGGGAGACAAAATAAATATCAATGAGAAGTTTCACAAAGACTTTTCTTATCTAGAAGAGGCACTTATTCTTTATGTCAAATGTTAATTTTGTCCCAACAAAGCTTGGCTTCACAGATTTATTTATGTACATTTTAATATGGAGTTATTTAACATCGTGACGCGAGGCAACAACTGGAGTGCGTAAAAATTTTACTTACTTTGCGAATGTCTTCTAAATTGTGAATTTCCGGCGACAGGCCGCCGTGTACGCAGAGGAACTGTTGGTTCATGAGGGCGGCGAGCGGCAAACAGTCGAAGGCATCCATGCACGCATCGTACACCCTCTCAGAGTACTTTATCTTACCTGAAAGCAGAAAAGAAAAAGATATTCAAGATTATAAAACAACGGATTAGTACACCTCTGTGAAGCTAGCCCCCCATTATTAAAAAAAATAATTTTTTTTAGAGAGAGAGTTCTGAATAGATTTCTAATAGTTCCAGAGTTCCTGATAAATTTAAAAAATAGTTCTGACTATTAAAGCCATAAAAATGCGATTTTTAAAAAATGGGGATTAATTTCACGCAATTCTCATTTTGGAAAATAATCATTTTTTTTTAGAGTTCTGGATAGATTTTGAATAGTTCCAGAGTTCCTAATAGGTTCAAGAAATAGTTCCGTCCGAGAAATTAAAAAAAAAATTTTTTTTCAGTTCAAAAATTTTTTTTAATAGTTCTGGCAGTTCTGTCGAGAGTTCCGAATAGCTCCCCCAGAATTCTACCAAAAATTCTAATGACAAAAAACCGTACAATTTGAATTGGAAAAGTTACGAGCGATTATAGGTGTCCATTTTCTAATTTAGAAGAGCAAAAAATTTTTTGAAGAATTCTGACAGTTTTGTCGAGTCTAATGGCGTTCAATGATCGTATGAATGTGTCGGGAACTACTTTTATGGCTTCTTTACGAAACGAGATGAGAACACGGAGACTGGAGTCGACACGTCTAATCTGACATTCGGCAGAAAGGTCGAGATGGTGGAGGAAATAAAAGTGACGCGAGGGAGTCGTGAAGAAAGACCTTGATAAGTGAGGCGAAACACGCATAGTCGGCCATGGACCATTCGGCGAACGAACCGTAAAAAGAATGGCGGACGCACGGGGGCTCTATTTCACGTCGCAGTCCTCGCGGAATAATGGATACTCTCTAGAATACGGAGAGAAGACCGCCTGGTCGTCCACGCCTGTTCTGTGTTCTTGAAATTTCGCTGCGCGCCTCTCCTCCTCGTAGCTCTTCTCTTCGCTGCAGTGCCACGAGTGCAACCGACAGCCCGCTCGTATCGTGCGAGCGATAAACCGCTCCGCCAGATAAGTCCGGAGCGAGTAATTGTTGTCTTATTTCTGGAATAAAACGGTACCAATTCTGTGGTACAGGTGAAACCCGTGTTTTCTCTTTCCTCTTTTTCGATTCCAAGTTCTGATTACTTTTATAACTAACTCGTATGACGCTGTTTCACATGAAAATTGTAAAACTTTAACTCTCAGAAGGATTTCGTAAGAAGCTCTCCTCGATCCATCGCTCTCTGTTTCTGACATGTTTCCTGTTAAATGTGACCTCGGAAATTGACGTAAAGCAAGCTGTATTTACTACATAGAGGGAGGATCGTCGAATCACTGTTCGAGGTGACGCGCGAAAAGGATTTCCTACCAATAAAGCGGAGTAATCTCGACAGGATAAAGATTTGTCGGCGCTGAAGCTAAACGGATCGTCGCTCGAGGACCTTCACGAGATCTCGCAAATGAACGACCAGTTGGTGGACGTAGGAGCCTCTTTGGGGTTGCAGATTGAAGTATTGCGAAACGGATGTCTGTAATATTGAGTCAAGAACGAACTCGGTGAAGCTCTCATGCCTCAAGATTATTAAATCAGAGAGAAATAAAAAGAAAAGCATTATTGGAAGATGTCTAAAAAAAGATTAATCGACACACAACATAATAATTAAACCAAGAATAGAAGAATAGAGAAAGCAAGATTAATTATAAACAACGTAAAAATTCGATTGAGGTCGACTAAGAACGATTAAAAATAATTTAAAATAAAAATAAACAGAGACTATTGAACGAAATTTTTATTGGTCGACAAGAAAATTTACAAGATGGCACAAAAAGTATCATATCATTTAATTGTCTTATAATTTTCAGGCTTTGGCACGAAAAGAACGGTTTTGTTGAATATCGAAAAATTCAGCTGAACACAGATATGATATAATTTTAGACAGAATATAATTTTTTCTTTGGACCATCCAAATAAATGTGTTTAAATTGATTGCTAAAATGTTAAAACTTTTTTTGCAGCATTGTCATCAACGTTTAAACGTCCTATGTAATTATTTTAGGTCTGTTTTTTTATTCCTACGCTATAGATTGCATTAGAACTCTCTTTCTCTCTTTTGTCAAATATCAAATATACACATCTCACTTTAAGTTCCAAAAGTGTATACTAGTTCAGTCTTTTGATGGCCCAACAAAATTATTTTTAGATTGTAGGTAGTTAAATTTTTAGTTATATCAGAATCGTCCTTTCCGTTTAATTAATTCTAACCAGTTCTGTGATGTAGAATTATATTTTACGAATTTTGTTAAGAATAAATGTTAAATATAAACCAAATAGTATAACATTTCGTACGACATTCTGTATCTTGTAACCTATTTGCAAGAAACACGCAACGACTACTGATTTTCACAAACAGCGTTTTGTTTTATCCTCGTGACTATTACGCAGAATACACGCTACGTATCGCGACAAAAATGACGGTTCTGGCGAAATCGTTGGCGAATTAATTGCGCGTTCGTCTCCCATATTCGCGGACAAACGATCGTTTTTGGCACTGAGATCCATTTCGAAACGACATGCCGTCGTAATCTTGGCGCGCAGCCACGGCGTCCCGGCTTCTAGCGTGAAAAGCGCGCGAGCGACAAGATTGCTCGGAATAATGTGTTTCTCGAGCTCGGGCTCCGGCATGTGACTTTCAAAAAAAACGCAATCATTAAGTTTCCAGCATCGCGCACTGCGAGACGAAGCCAGATGAAAAACAGTCGCAATAAAATCGCAAAAGCAATATATTCGTATAACTTATTACTGAATATGAAGTATGTATACAGGGTGTCTGGAATTTAAATGTCAAAATTTCGAGAGTGTGATCTATAAATTAAGAAAAAAATCCTGTAGAAATATATTCGTTTTCGTTTCTCTCGTTTTGGAGAAAACCGCAAAAAAAAGACAAACAACTATAGTTGCTTCATTCTTGGATGTGAAGGAGTAGTGTCTTGGTCACTTCGATCACCTGATCTAACACCACTGGGCTTCTTTGTGTGGAGGGTTCTAAAGTAGGAAGTTTATTCGTTGTCAGTCAATTCGAGAGAACAATTGAGAAATCGAATCGAAGCTGAAGTGCACTAAATATCACCAGATCAGTGTTTGACTGCAATACGAGCTGTCAATACTGATAATATGCTAGCATTCCTGCTAGAGAGGCCAACATTTTAAACAATATATCTACATTAAGCAAGTGAATAAATACAACATGAATAAGTGATAAAAAAAAAGTACAAAAACGAAAACTACATTTAGTCTTTTTTGCGATCTTCTCCAAAACGAAGCAAAAACGAACAAATCTCTACATGACTTTTTTTAAATTAATTTATCGATCCTCTATACATTCTCAAAGTTTTAACATTTAAATTCTGAACATCCTGTATAATAAAATATAATATTTTAATATTAACGCTTCGAAAAGCTGACATGTAATTCAAAATTTGTAATTACTGCGGTCACGATAAACGAGACGCATTTAATTTATATTAAATAAAAGGTAATATTAATAATTTTAAGGAACCAAGATGACATAAATTATGTAAAGAAAAATATCAAGTTCATTTTAATACCAATAATTTATATTTGCAAATATATAAAATACATAACAAATATAATTGAGTAAGTCCAAGAAATTCATCGGTTTATTTTCAATTCGGCGGGATATAAATGAGTCGAACACAGGAGGAGAATTTTGCTTAAATGTCTGAAAACTTAGCTAGATAGAGATCTGAAAATAATTTCGTTGGATTTCGAAATAATTATATAGAATGTTGAAACTGATTGTTAGAATACTAAAACTTTTTACAACATTGTTCATATAAGATTTCTACCTAATTATTTTGTTAAGTCAACAAAATTATATATATATTTTTTCAGATTCATATCTAGCTAAATTTTTAGATAATTCTGCTAATCATTCTTTTTGTGAATAAACCCAACATTAGCTCCGAAGGATTAAATATTCAATAAGTTTCTAAATATTCGCAGAAAGAAGAAATAGAATAAAACAGGTTCGTACACGGAAAGGACTGTTTTGCTAAAATATCTAAAAATAAATAAATAAAATAAATATCTAGATCTAAATATATATCTAAATATCTAAAAGTTTAGCTAGAATTAAAGATATTTTGTTTTATGCCATTAAAAAATATAGAACGTTTAAGCGTTGATTACAGTGCTATATAAAATTTAACATTTTAGCAACTAGTATGAACATCCTACATAATTATTTTGACGGACCAAACAAAATTCTTTTAAAATCTGCATCTATATAGTTAAATTTTTAGATACTCAAAAATCGTTCTTCCCATATGTAGCTCTATTTATTCTAAAATTTTCATACAGAATCGAAGCCTGTATTACGCTAGTCACGACGTGGAAAAATGATATATTTGGGATATACGAGATATACGGCGGCAAGGAGCAACCGCGCATTTATCTTGATAGAACCGGTATCGAACTTCTCTATACGTCACGGTTAAGCGCGCTACATTTTTCTCGCGTCATTGTTACCCGAATTGGCAGAAAAATGTGCGCGCGGCAAATGTCGGAAAAACGTCAAGAGGGGAAAAAAATGCGGGTAGGATCGTGCGAGCGCGATATATTATCACGATCTATTGCTGCATTTCCCCACAATATTATACCCGAGTTTTACATAAGACGCGATAGGGACAAGCTCCCACATTGTTGTAATCCACAATGCGCTGCGGCCACATTAGTTTACATGAAAAGTAAATGTGCACGATACTCTGACAGTTATCGGAGTTATATAAAAATTTCTGTTGCCTTCATTTTAAAGAGGAAAAAAAAAAAATAGAGAATCGCTGCCGCGCTACCCTTGTTTTCTGTGCGAGCGTGCTATCGCGACTTCGTATCGCGAGGAAAAGCTTGAACCGTTGTGCGCTATGAAGATAATCGCAATTTTCTCGATCGGCCGGCACGTGAATGTCGGTATAATATATAGTGGCGGATAACTAGGCCGCGTAAATAGGCGGCTGCGAAAGAGAAGAAAACGTGGAGAGATGCGGATATGCGCGAGCGAGGGCGCACCCTCTCGCGCTAACCTCCGCACGGGGTTTCAAAACGTCCGCCAATAAATGCACGGCGAAAGCTCCGTTAAAACGATGATTAAAGCGTCGGCTGTAACGTGCACGCGCACTGGGATTTTCGCGGTTATCGCGGTTATTAAACGCGCGTGGAATCGGGGTCACGGTGCGTGCGCGAACGAGCGAATTTTTGTCGGGTGAACACCCCCTCGTTGGGTGACACGCATTCCGCTTAATATGTATCGTAGGCGGAAATGGCATTGCGCCGATTCTACATGTACATATAAGAGGAAATTAGAATTATTCTTCAAAACGGGGCCCCGGCTACGAGAATGGACCCCGAATAAAGAGAGTGCGCGAAAATGCGAAGCGAGCCCATGTTGCTCCCTCTTGACGTTCACGAGTCAGCTTTTTACGTTTGCAATAATAATAGAGTTGTGAGGGTGGAATATAAAAGACGATGGGAGGGACCGACGAGATACAATAAAGCAGCATAAAACGTTTAATAATACATAAAACGTTTTTAGAGGCAGTTAAGAACGCTATACGAATTTATGTCTGACGTTCGTATAATCAAAGTATCATTAGGACACCAGGCAGATTCACTTGGAAGATATAAGTACGTCGTAAATAATATATTATTTCTCACTCTTAAGTTTTAAGAATAAATGAATTGACGTCCTTTCTGAAATAAAATGCTGATAAATTAACCAGACACACACACTGAAAAAATCTGATAATATATCCATCAAATGTATTTTATTTAGTGGAGAAATATTTAAATGTTACTTAATATAATAATAATAATAATTAACTATTTAGTAATAATTAGAAAAAATAAATATTTTTCGATCATATATCGGACCAAAAAAATGACAATCGTTTTCGATAAATAAGTGTAAAGTATACAGAAACAAAAAAAAAACTTTTTAAATAAAATTTTCATAGTAATTAAAACCATTCTCTTTTAGACAAAAAACATCTACTGTTATTTTTCCTGGTTTATCGTTGAATAGCGTATATAACAATGTATTATTATCTCAACAACGCAAAAGAACAAACACATTCATCAGATGATAAAAAAATAAACATTTTTTAAAATGCAATAAAGAAATAAAAACATATTCTATAAATGCGCGAAAAATGTTTGTAATTTTCAAAAGTCATATCGCCTTTCAGTTTCACATTTTTGTTTAAAATTTAAAAAATAATAAACTTAACACTGGACCAGAATATCCAAACAATAGTGAGTGAATAACAATTGTTAGCAGACGAGACGACAAAAGTATGAATGAAACACTTTCACAAATCTCTTCAGCTAAAAAAAAAGTGATTCTTAAAAGGCCAGTATTCATATCAAAGGCCAGTTAGTTCTTATATTCAAGACCGTCTTAAGTTCAGTCTTGAGGTTTCATAAACCAATCAGAAGGTTGCATCAGCGTCTTAAGACATTAAGATGATTTTGAAATAAGAACCAACTATGAATACCGGCTTTAGTAACCTATTTTAGACAATAGTGACTTTTGGTAATTTATCACAGAAAGGTGACAAAAAATAACTTAAGTGACTAGATGGCAGCGCTGAGTTAATATTTAGAAAAGCAGAATTAGCTTTTGATTGGTGCTTAATTGATTATCAACCAAGCATTTAATTCAAATTATTTCACCCAAGCTAGCGTTTTCAATTACAGTGGATACGAACTGACCTGGGTTGGATTAATGATGTCACATGCTCTACCAGTAGTACGTCATTAATCCAGATTGGTTCAAACCTACTCAGCTAAAAACGCTGTTAGTAATTATCATCTAAGTAAGCTTAATTATTTTTACTATGGTCTTTTTTCAGTGCATTAGTAAGGACGTTTCAACTCTAATTAGCCTCGAAAAAATTGTCCCTTCGAATCTATCACTGCAAAGACATCGATGCATCCCTCGCGATGCATAGCTCGGACACTCGCGCAGCAGAAGCAGGCGGCGTCTCGCGGAAAAGTGTATCGATCGTGGAAAATTGTCCGATACTAGGTCAACCTACGAGTATTTGCAAGGCACCCCCGCTCTCCGTCTCGGTTTCCCCGGTCGCGTCGTTATAACATTTACAATGTGAGCGACAGGACGGGAACGAGTCGTAATATGCAGGGCGGTTTCCTCGTATGATGATGCAGGCGGGCACCGAGACTCGCTGTGGAAACCGCGGATTGAACACGAAGAATCGCCGGAGATGCGTATCGACTAAGGGCGATCGCTTGATTTTTTCGCATGTCAAGTTTTAATTTGCTGGCACATGTTTAGTACAAACGTACATATACGGACGGAGAGGATACGAGATGAGCAGCTGTGTCCGATGTTAAACACGCCGCAAATCTGGATCTTCTAGTACCCGTGCGTATAAATTGCAGTAGGGCAGAGCCCACGTAATGTAGCGTAAACTCACGCGATTAATGTAATCCCGAAGCTCGTTGGTTACGAACAGGCTTGAACTTAAGCGAAACAACAAGAGAGCGAGAATCGCGAGTGTTCCCTAAATGTCCTGACCGTTCAGCGAATATAACGTGTTGCGATGTCCGGCAGTTTACGATATCGTAACTTATCTAACATGGAGTACACGTGATCGAAGGACTATGGGGACACACACGCAGGTCATAAGGTCGATATTGCACACGCAATATGAGTTATCGCTACGATCGAGTCTCGTTATTGCAGCTTTTTACTATAACATGGCACAGCATAAGTATAACACGTATCTTTATTAATTCCAGAGAATTTTCATAACATAATTTTCTACTTTTATTTTATCTAAACGGGACAATTCTTTAGCATGTAGAACAAAAAAAATAAATACGTGAATATATAAATTGTAATAAAACTGTGAAATATGAATCGTTTAAAATGATATTGTCACGCAATGGTATAATATTTATAAACTTAACACACAATGCAGTGCCTCGAAAACAAATATAAAAATAATATAAATTAGCTCCATTACAAATTCCGTTAATCAGGTTAAATATATTCCCAATATTATGCTTACATAAATATTTTACAAAACAATATGTTTATTTCTGCATACATTTAAAATTAGATTCCAATATTTATACATGAGGATAGTTTATTTAGGTAATTAATAAATAATACAATATTAATATTTATACAATCGATGAATTATATATATACCCAAATAAATTTATTTTTTATAGATTTTCTTAGAAAAAGTATATATTTAAAAATCCTTCATAACATGGCTAAAAAATAAGATGTTAAAATAAAAAACTGCAATACACGTATATGACTTCTGATCAGAATATCGATGAATTTTTTTCACAAGAAAATGTCAAATATGGCAAAGAAGCCATTTTTACATTAAATCTCAATTATTCTGGAAATCTGATGTGCTGCTAAAATTTGACTTGCGACATCGTTTTCAACCTCCAAAACCTCTGTAAGAAATACCTTATCTGGTTCAAAGTAATTAAAAAAAATATTTTTTGTAGACTAGTATTATCTTTACAGTCAATATATTATATTATGCTCCTTTCATAATAAATATGTTCATTTATTCATCGAAATACGAAACTTGCATAAATTAATACTTATAATTTTTATTTATCTTTCTTTTTTTCTCAAAAGTTACGTTTTGTTATTTAGACCGTAATTACGGCACACGCGTGTATGTCAGGCGCCGAAGCTCGCGATGTTGGTAGGTAGATGAGCCGCATAAATTTCGCCGCCGCGCAGAGCTAATTCACCTTACGAGGCAACACCCCGTCGTAACTAACGTGGCGGAAGACTTAATCTGAGTCGCAAATTATTAAACAGGAAATAATTTCTTATTACGACGCAAAACAAAAATGGGCCATGGCTAAAAAGCGTAGTGCAGCAGAGAGCGATATAAAAGATTCAACGACGCGGGAAAATGAATATTTTGAGAGAAAGAAAGAATAGATGGGCTTTCTCTTCTTTGCAAATTTTTTAAGGAATAAGAAAAAGACTTTCAGTCTACATAGATTGTAAAACTGCTTGTTTATGATATATTTTTGAAAATTATAAATATGAATACAGGAGAGAAAAGCTTACTTCCTCACGAAGAAAGTTTACTTACATTCCTGTTTAAACGTGAAGTATTCCGTGAGATGACGGCACTCGTGGTTACCTCTGAGGAGGAAAAGTGTGGTTGGATGGCACAATTTTAGCGCCCACAGGTACAATACGCACTGAAACAAAAACAAAGACATTAGCTAAAGGTAATTCACCGTGTAATAATGCTGATGTCATTTCATAATCTTTAGATATGAAACAACTCATATAATAATATATGGTCAATACAATATATTTCAAAATGAATATTTTTTAAATGTGTTTTTAAGTCGTTGTCGGTTAGTCGAAAATCGTGTAGTTCTTAATTTTTTGACTCCGTTTATTTCTTATTAATTTTTGACCTCTTAAATTTGTGACTAATTCTTTTTAATCATCATCGATGACACGATTAGACTTATATTCAACTCTCACCACGACTAATCACTAATTTATTCTATCGTGCTTTCTATACCGTCATTAAATTTTTTTAAATATGTAATATTGTGACAAACACATCATGAGTACTATCTGCATTATCGATTCTGCCAACATTCGATTTACCAATCTTCTGTCAGCGAATTTGTTCTCTCGGAGAGTCACTCATTTAACATCGCAACACATAAATATATTATATATAATTCTACCTCACTACGATACAATAGTTTTTTATATTTGAAGAACGCTCAATCTAGGAGCTGAAACATGTTATGCATGCAGTTTGAATTTGTCTTAATTATATTTCTAATTTTTTATATGTAATAAATTTATTCTTATTTATATTTATCAATGGCTCTCGAATTGTTCTTTAGTCTATCCTTTTTATTTTTTTTGTGTTTTTAAGTTGTGTACATAATGTCAAAATTGTCTATCAAGAAATTATCTTCTATATATACTATCAGACATCAAAAAAGCATGGTAACACAATCCCTTAAGTTAAAAATAACATTACAATATAATGTAATTGGTTATTTTCGTCTATTATATGTCTGTCAAAATATATATAAATTAATTCATTTCTGTGATTAATTTCAAAATAAACAACATCCGTAATTATATATGTTCTTATTGTTAGTAACTAATAAACTAAATTTAAGTCAAGTAATACATTTTCTTGAATTAAATTGTTTAATTTTGTTGTTTCATTTAAATTGATGAGATATTATTGAGTAGGAGTGACAACTATGGAAATAATGAAAAATAACTCAAATTAGGTATAATTAGACATTATAAATTTAACAATATATTCGATTGAATATAAAAAGTAATGATCTCTTGGGTTAAATAACATTTTATTTTTAACTTCTACGATGTATGTCACACAAAATGTAATTTAATTTTTGCATTTCTGTAATTAATTTCAACGTAAATAACATACGTACTTAATAAATAATAAATTAAATTTAAGTTAAATTTAATACATATTCTTGAGTGAAATTGTTTAATTAATTGTTTTAGTTAAATTATTAAATAACGACATATTGATTAGAGTAATAGTGAGTTATAGAAATAATTAAAAATAACTTAAATTGAATATAATTTGACATTATGAATGATAGTGTAGTTATAAAAGAAATTAAATCATCAATAAATTATTAATAAACGATCTATTAATAGACTAAACCATAAAGGAATTTTCGATAAATGATCAGTAATGCCAAAGAACCTGTATAATTCCAGTTTAAATGATAAAGAATGTTTTACAAGGAGAAATGGAACAACAGTTAAAGACATAAATATTTAAATTAGCTTGGGATTATACTACATCGACAATATCACGATCCTCCTATTAAATCGAAACAATTCGTTAGTCTCCATCAAGCGGCTCCAATCGCTCGAAAATCCCTTCGGTCTGATCGGCATTCCTCCGCTTTAATTGCAGAACTTCCGTGTCGACATGAATTTGAGCGACGCGCTGCCGACAGATTGCATCGCAGAATGCATTCGGACCTCGCGAGAATCTCTCCGTAATTTAACGTGCTATTAATCGGTGCATCGGTCGAAGAGAGATGAAGATTAAACTCGCAACCGCTTTCCCATCCTCTTCCCTCCTCTCTCTCTCTCTCTCTCTCTCTCTCTCTCTCTCTCTCTCTCTCTCTCTCTCTCTCTTGTATATTTTTGCTCTTATATTTTTCTTTTATTTTTGTGTTCTTAGAGAACTTGTCCTAGAATGATAATAAAAGCTTTTTTTTTTATCTATCTGTGCATCTCTCTCGCTCTCTCCCTCTCTTTATCCCTCCCTGCTCTTCTTTCTCTCTGTCCCCTTTTCTCAATGACAACGATGCCATTAATAATCCTGGACGCGTAGTTCTTAAAGGTGAATGTTTTGGCAACGGAAACATTACCGATAGTTCTCTCATCTCACAAAAATGAATTGGGTGGCGAAAGTCATGACTTGCATTTGGCTTGCGTTTCGTACACGTAATGAAAACGTATTGCATAGTTGCATAAAACTGTATACGTATTGTACACAAGCTGAAAATATTATTTAACAAACACGATAATTGTTCGCTGAAACTTGAGAGAAAATAATAACGATATAAATAAATAATATAAATAAATATATAAATAAATAAAATAACATATAAAACGCTATAGGAAAAATATATAAGATGTTATTGACTATGTGTTATAAAATAATAAAAGTATAAAAGATATAGATAAAATATTGAGAGAAGCTTGCCTCAACCGTAAAATAAAAGTTCGACTTTTGAACTTTTCTTCGATGGAGCTTTCGGAATCGTCGGAATTCGGCTGTTATTCGGGGCAAAGTGCGTTACGCGCGAATGCATCACTAATTAATATTATTCGTTGTACCACTGACCCGCATTAAATTGGCAATGGCCGTTGCTAACGAACGACGAATTTCGCACGAATTTTGTGTCCGCACTAATTAGCTCGCTCGCTCGAATGTGGCGGTCGTAATGATGACTCCATTAACTTCAACACGGTTTTGGATGGAAAACGGGGAGGAATAGGGCGCGATTTCGTCAGACCTTTTATGCGGTTAACATTTGTCCCGCATTCGTTGTGTTCCCGGCTGTTTAATAATCATGGGTGACGCGACACTTTTAAACAGGCTTAATTGCGCACGAACAATGTGAATTAAAGCTTTTACAGGCACCGCGTGTTCGTAGATAATTTTGTCGCAATGTGGAAAATTCGATCACGAACAATCTGTATGTTTTGCTATCATCAATATGCAAAATGCAATTGCATCAAACGCAAGATTTTTTTAACCTGTCAATTTTTTATACTAATTTCACTCGGATAGATTAGAATTTCATGGAATCCAATTTTTCTTTTCATAATTTTTAAAATTTTCAATGTATTATGAAAACTAAATTTCTATTTAACGTTATAATAAGAAACCAATATAGTTTATATTAAAAAAAAAAAACTAAACTATAATATATACTATAATAGAAAACCAACTCGATATTATTATTCATCCTAGAACGATTTTTCTCCTTTAAAAAGTTAATCTTTGCCTAACCTACCGAGGAAAGGACAGCCCTTCCCAGTCTTCCGCGACTGCAGACCGTAAAAGGGGAGAAATCTCCGAGAAAAAGTTGAAAAAATATTCTAGCACCGTGGTCTTACGTAAGGTGAAACAGATGTGATTGCGATTGAAACCGCTGGACCGGAACATTTAACCTTTGTGCATCAAATCGATACCATGGAACTACCAACATCGCATCGCGGCTCAACTCAGTGGGATAGAGGGAAAGAAATGTCACACATTGGTTACAGAGAATATTTATCTCCCGTTCTCGCGTCTCACAGGATCGCACATCGTTGCGATGGTTAACACACGTCGGCGCGGTGGCGGTATGGGGTATCGATACAAACACGGTTTTTTCGATTTTGCATGACGCCGCGCGTTTCCGAGAGAAAGATAAATCCTCGCATCCGTAAAAGCCAGGGCGCCGGCAATTTTTTTTCTTAGACTTTCGAGGTCAATTATTTTCTCCCTGCTGACCCGATCGACTGTCTACCGTCGTCCGCCCCTCGCGTCGTTCCGCGATCCTTCTTCCTCCACCATCCCTTTGCGAAGTCAACGGAGCGGCTGCTCGTTCTCGCCTTGTCCCGGCCGCTATAATTATACGCGAGGGCCCTCATTGGCATTGTAACGAAATAACGCGCTCGTCCTTCAGGTTCTACCGCGGATCACTCGCGAGTGGAGCACCGTGCTCTCGGATATAATTCTCACGCGACGATTGTGTGAAACGCATATATAGATTGACAATCGAGTTCGTACATATAAAACTATAATTCTTTTTTTTATTTTTAACTCAAACATGTTGAGTTCATTCGTCTAAATTAATATCTTCTTCAAGGCGGGGAATCTATTTGCGTTTATATTCCAATGATGTTCCCGCAGTTAGGAAAGTACTCTTGAAACTCTTCAATTGAAATAGTCAAGATGTCGATTGAAACTTCTTTTTCCAACTTAACAAAGATTTGTACTACTTAGAAATATACCGCTTTATCTTTGTAAACATTTCTCGAGGTTTTCATAATTTCTTGGCTATTCTTTTTAAGATCTTTTCAATAAGAATTTTGATATCGGTTTCTTCAATATCACTTAAAACTCAACGCAATAAAGAGACGCCTGTGCTAAATGAACAATTATCATCTATCACATTCTTACACACTTATACATACACATACGAATGTATTATCCGTTTGATATACTGTCAAAACAAAATGAATGGATTCTAATAGAAAATCTAATAGAAAAGTGTAATGATGAACTTTAAAGGCACAATCGTTTTTCTTTTGCTTTAAATTCTGACAAATACATTTAAATGCGTAAAAAAATAAGTAAAATATAATTTGTGACAATAAAAACTACAGTAGTACAGCAACTATAGTATAACTGTATAGTATAATTTCCATGATAATGAAAACTATGATAGTAAACATTGGGGTTGTTAAAGCTTTTAAATATGAATTTTCTCAATTGTTTAGATTTTGGAACTCGATATAAAAATCTGCACTAAATCTGCGTTTGAAAACTCAGATTAAGTAATTGAATTTAGTAATCACAAATTCAATAATTAATAATTTTGAAGTTTACCCACTTCCACATTCTCTAAATTATATAATCGTGCTTTTCTTATAAGCGTAAGAAATTACTCAAAACATAATTTGAAGGGAACTACTTTCTTTCTGCAGCAAAGATGATTTTCGAGAACGAAATGAGATTTTCAAACGAACGATCAGGAAGAACGAAACCTCTGTACTTTGTCTTCTCTTTAAGCTTGGATTTTATCTTTATATTTCTTGGAATGATCAAGATCAAAGGTTTCCGTCGAATATGTCGTCAGAGAAAAGGCTTCGGTTCTATCGAAGAAGCCATCGAGATCGCAGGTGGAATATCGATCTTACGAAGATTAACTATAACTATGATTAACGAATAACTATCACGTGTATACCATATACAAACACATATATATGTATATTAGAATATGCTGCACGTATACAGGCATTGCGGTGCGCATGCGCGATTGCGTACCTGTGCACAAACGACATACCTTCTTAAAACGTGGGACGAATCCTTTCTCCGCACGCCAGCTATCGAACGGAGCATCCTTGAAGGACTGAGCATTCTCTGAGTACGAGAAGTTACGCGACAGAAACCCTTTTCAGAACGCACGCGGTTCCGATCGATTTATAATACAATTTACCAGTGGGCGAATAGGCGATCTATTTTCTCCGTGAGATACTCCGCACTCTCAAATACCGTGTAAAGAGAAAGAGGGATAAAGGGAACAAGAAAGAGAAAGAGAACACTACATTCCAACTCTCGTTTGTGGATAGATCAGCGCCCACGTAATATAGTCGTAAATACGATCGAATCTATGCACACTACAGCAAAATTATCCTCCAAGAAAGAAAGTATCGCTGACACACCGAGAAATCTTGTGTTATTTCCGAACGAAGAAAATAGAAGCTGCAAATAGAAAAAGTCTATTAATAGCTAGAGCTACCATATGTAGAGTGAAATAATTTTAATCAAATGTTCGGTTAATCTATACCAATATAATAAAAAATAATTTTATTTTTTTTAATATTCGGTAAGTAAATCAACTGTTTGGGGATTAGTAATACTTTTAAATATTCAGAAAAGTAAAATTATTTTTGGTTATATTAAGCGAATATTTGATTGGAATTATTTCATTCTACATATAGTACATTTGATAGCTAATACTAGATTCTTTTTTCAGTATGGTCTGATAATAATCGATCCAAAAATACAATTTCTTTATAATGTCAAGGATGAATTGTAGAAAGCAAGGGAAATACACAATATAGCGTTATAATTAATTAACCTTATTAGTATTTATAAAAATAACTTCCACCTCGAGTAACAATTTAAACGAAAAGAACGTTTCTAGGAAAGATATTACTTTACGTTTACTCGCGAATATGTATCGATCGATTTTAAAAGATTCCATTAAGTTCAGTCCATCAGTTTGATTGGAAACAGCAATTCGCATACGGCTTTGGACCGTCGACATTCATTCATTCGCGTGCGTCATAAATCTGACGGCATCCGTGCGCGCTTCACAACGACGACATGCTGCGCCTTGCATTATTCAGAGAATCCACGAAGACGCAGCTCGATCTGAATAACGGCAACCGTGGAATATATCAAGAGATTTTCTTAAAAGGAGCCATCTTGCCCGCGCGCTGTCTTGCGAAATGTACTTCGCGGAGAATATATTTAAATCTTGGGTATACGCAACGCGCCACGTGTAATACCACGTACAATATTGGATTGTCCCCTATTTCTTCCGTGAATTTCTACACTGATATAGAGATTGCTGCGTAAAATCCTGCTAGTTTTCGTTACAAGTCAGAAATTATATCTCGCGAATGTTTGCCATGTTTTTTTTCCTAATAAATCAATGAATGAGAGAGGGAGAGAGAGATTACAAATAAAAATTATCTTAAAATTATATATTTCTTATCCGGGTAAATTAAAACAGACGAATAAATCCTCGGAGAAAGACGTAAAGTCTTGAAAAGATTACTTTTTCTTTCGAGTATATTCAAGAGTTACGATCAATGTTGAACTTGCAGTATCATCGACTTCCTCCAAAAATAGAGTCCTGAAATTTCATTCTGTTCAAGATATCTACGCGTCGTTGCAACAAAATTGCATTTCGTGTATCGCGCGGTTTAGGACGATCGCACTAAAACTTTGCAGTTTAACCCCTGTCTTTTAGAATTCGCAGAAGGAAACTGTTCGTTACTTAAAAAATTTCTCGAAACACGCGAAAGCGTCGCGATAAAGGAGCGCCATTCGAAATGCCGCTCTCGCTACTTCGGGGTCTCCTCTCGCGCATTTTCTTATTCCTAGTAGCACGACAGAATATTGCATTATGCTCGACATGAAGCGAACTCGCCCGTGACGAAATTTTATCTCGCAAAATAGACTACTCGTGTCGGATCAAAGTTGATTATTCGCGCATGCTTCGAAATTACATTCAGGAAAACGAGCATAATACTTCCGTGTAACAAATGCATTCTACATGAACACGTGCAGAAGTTTTCCTCTCTTGATTATTGAGTTTTCTATATTCAAAGTACAGACTTTTTATTTGAGAAAATCCAAGACGTATCTATCCCACAGGAAATAGCCGTTATATTTAAATAAAATAATATGAAAATTCTTTTCATGTACTTACTTCGATAAAAAATCGAGTTTTAGAAATGAGATGCGAGTTAAGCAAACAAGATATTACTTTTCTAGATAATATTGTTTGTTGACATGAGTAGGTACAATCGTTGACAAGAAATTATACCTTTTGTGAAATTGACAACAAATTGTATCTTTACTTACACAATTGTTGACAAAAAGTTATACATTTCTTAAAAACACATAAGAGATGAGTTGTTATCGCAACTTCAATTATCGCGATTAATATATCTAACGCATTACATTTGATAATAACGTTCGATAAAAAAAACATCAGAATGAGATTAATCATGTCCTGTAACTTTTTAAGACGTTGACTACAAATCCAGTTTCCAAATTGCTCCGTCACGTCATAATTTTGAGAAATTGCTTCATAACGTCACAATTTTCAGTTAAAATTGTCAAAAAGAGGCATTTTATCATATTATAACTATGATAGGTGACATGCCGGAAAAGTTTTATTACAATCAATATTAAGTATGCCGTTAGAACTTTCAAAAAGGATTTTTTAGTATCGGCTATTATGTCAAAATTGATAAATACAAATCATGAAAGATCTTTATACATACATTTTTACAATAACCCAGTTTTCAAGTTTTAATATCCGCCATATCGAATATGTTATTTTGACTTTGTCAACTAAGTCAGCTTTAACATTGGATTTGTATTCAGTGACCTAAAAACTCTTTTTGGTAATTGGAAATAATTTGATAAATAATCAATGATCTATACTCTATAATTCACAGCTTTTTTATAATAAAAATTTAATCATGAATGTCTTAATAATCATAATCGACACTAAAAAAATTCTTTTAAAGCTGAAAATGTCAACACTTTACTCTGCAATAAAACTTCTCCAGCACGTCAGATATCGTACTCACAATACAACAAAATGTATAGAAATAGCTATTAAATTGCAACTTTAATTGCAAACTCAAAATTGTGACAGAGTAATTAGGAAAAACAAATCATATTCAACATCCAAAAAATTAGAGAAAATAGTTAGTTTTGTTTCGGTTCTTTTCAGACAATGTAATTGATTGTTTGCTTCTAAAAGTCAGTTTTCAAAAACTTCATAAATGTTAATGAGAAATGCATAATTAGCAATATTAATGATCTGCAAATGTGTCAGGATATTTACGACAATCGAGTAGTATCAAAGCAAGTCTCAGAGAATTAACGATTTTACACTTTTGCTAAGCTGGGATAAGCGAGAGCTGGATGAGTGAGCCGGCGATTTAATAATAAATTAATTAGAACATACGCTAATTACAAAATCCGATGAGTGAATGCTCTCACATAATTCTCGACATGAAATTTTTCCCCGACAATTAGAATAAAGGAATAAATGTTCGTTTACGTTTGTGTGCTGTTTGTATACAACAAATGTATATGCAAATAGCACAATTACATAGCATGTACGGAAAAGACGGTATTATTATTGAAGTATTAAAAATTTCAACTATGTAGATACAAATCTAAAAATAATTCTATTAAACCAAAGTAATTAGGTAGAACATTCAAACTGGTTGCTAGAACAAAACTTTTTGCAGCATTACTCACCATACTTGAGATTATTTTAATAGTCCAACAAAATTATCTTTAGATCTATATCTAATAAAATAGTTAGACTTCACAGCACAATTTTTCATTATTAAGTTATTTCCATTTTAAAGACAACTCTTAATTGTTTTAAACTCTTAATTAAAGTTATGTAATATCTATATTTAATAATTATATTGAGAAAAAAATTACTAAATCTTACATATTTTTTTCACAATAACACTAATTAAACATTTACCTATAATTAAATAAAAAAAGATATTTACTCAATAAAAAATGATTGTTAAATCAAATTAATATTCATTTAAACATTACTAAACTTAAATAAACATATATTATATTTATTTAATGCAAGAACCATTAGTACTATTCAAATAAAATATTTATTAAAATTTAGTTATTTTTAAAATTTAGTATATTTTTTCAGTGCTGAAACAGCAAATAATTTTCTAAAATTCTTTTCATGTACTTACTTCGATACTGAAATAACCTCTGTCCACATAGTCGCCTAGGAAGAGATACTTGGTCGAGGAGGGTGGACCGCCCACCTCGAATAATTTCATCAGGTCGTAGAACTGTCCGTGAATGTCGCCGCATACTGAAACCAAAAGTAGATTCAAATTAGATATGGAAAGGAGTCCCCTTCTTCAAAGGGGAAGCTAGTGAAGAACTAATTAGCAAAAAGTTTTCTGAGCCGCGAATTACGTAACGTCATCGGATGCAATACTCTTTCGGGGTACGTCGAATTATGCAAGATAAAAGCGTCATTCAAAAAACGAGACGTAATTACCCAGCGAACGATTAATATAGCGCGATTAAAGCGCATCTTGCATCGAATATATAGACATTAGCGGCCCTTGAGAGTCGGTAAACTTGTTTGCGAACGTTTCAAAGTGAAATTACGCTCCTGTGTCATGGAGGATACGGGACGAAGCGGGATATGTTGAGAAACTTCAAGTTCTCGAAACCGAGAACTATTAGCGACCAGGACCCAGAGTGACGTTGGAATTACTTTGACGCGGTATTCGTCGTTCAATATTGTTTCACACTGTCTAAAAAAATTATTCTAAAAAATTATACATATAAAAATTTATATATGTATGTACAACTATCACTATGAATTTACTCATCTAGCCGTGCTTGTGCATAAAAATGGTAACAAGGACATTCGAAATATGAAGACATCAAAGTACCTAAATTTACTTTTCTGTCCTTTCACATTTCTATTATATTTCCTAAAATATATTTATCCTCTTTGTGCATTTTGTCCAAATATTACAACACTATTTTGAAGTATTTGTACAATTTTCGAAACTTGGAGCTGTCTTTAGCAGACAATAGACGGCATAAGACGAGCCAAGACAGGCAAGATGAAAGAATTTTTGAGATACATAAAAAAAATAGATGTATAGTGAAATATAATGAAAAGAAAATATGACACGTTGAAGAATGGTAAATTGTTATGGTATTGTTACACACAACGATAAATGAAGGTCTATAAACATGCTGCGATTTAGTTCTCCGCCATCCAGCGAAAACTATCGGAGGACTGAATACCGGTGTACGCTGGCAACATCATAGGCTCTTACGAGACTATATCAACTATTTTTATTATTCACCGCTTGCAGTACGTTACAGCGCTGCTTTCGCAACATTTTCCGATACCGTTTGTTGCAGGAATGCACTCACCAATAGAGTTGTTCTCGAACTATGCGCCGACGCTGCACAGCGCAGTCGTCCGTTGCGATAATCAAATAAAAAAAGTGATCTATATTTCAGTTTTATACTTCGTTCGAAAAGCGCGGAGTCCACCAATGAGAGATTGATAGAAGCCCGACGTATGATATTTCCGCCATAATGGAAACTGATCCACGAGATATACGTTATTATTAAATAGAATTTTGTGTGGTTCTCTTCAAATGCTTACATCGATATAACCGGTGTGCCGCGCGCGATCGATTCAATTTTCATATCGATTTAATTTTTCATGTTTAAAAAATTTTTTTACGCGGTAGAGAGATAAAACATTTGCTTCTATAGAGGGAGGGAGGGCGGCGAGTTCAGCGTTTACATAAAATATTATCGCGGAACAAAGGCGGACACCGACGAATAACATCGACGGCGCTTTTTGTTCAACACGCGACGATATATCTCACGTTAATACCGGGTCGGCCCAGAAACTGGGACAACGTCGCGCGCGTAAAGCAGGGAAATATGAGGCGGCAAGCCTGACAGCGAAAGCGCGGATAGATACCTACGATAATTAAATAGAGATCATATTAATATAAAGGTATGAGAAGAGGCAAAATAATCGATTGTAAAGAATGAATAAAGGAGATAGAGTCGGCGGAGATGGATCACCGTCTGAACGGTGATATGGTGACGTTCTTAGTTTTTGAGAATCGTAATATAATCTTTGTTCTATAAACGCCGAAAATTGTCAACGGTTATAAAATCTTCATCTTCTAAATTCTGAGGAAAAATACAGTAAGGAAATCACGAGAATCGCAAGAATTTGCTAATGTTAATTAAGACTTCGCTCGATTTTGTAATATCGCCGATTTTCGCACCATATTACGTGAATTAATGACTCCTACGGAAAATGAGATAATTCGAGCCGCTTGTCTGCGCTTTAAAAGTCGAGTGGCGAGGAATGCGTAGGAAGGAACTTACTCGAGACTCACAAAAGAATAGAAAGAAACTGAACTTTATTCTTCAGTCTCTGTTCCCTCCCGCCGCGCGGTGCTTGCACCTCGCCATTTTTATTCTCTCCTTTTTCTTTTTTACTTCTAATGTTTTCTACGAAGAGCAAACAGGACGAGTGCAAGCATCGTGGCGTTATAAATAAATGATGCTTTGCAAACAAGAAAAGAAAATATCTTTAGAAAATATTGTAACGTAACATTATCGATTTAGTTTAACGTATTTTGGGTAGAAAAATCTAATAAACTTTACAAAAACGTAATACAAATATAGCCTGGGCAAGAGTTAAAAATTTTAGTTCTAAAATTTTGAACATTTTGGAGTTTATCTTCGACTTATGATCGATTTTCCTATTCTTTGATCTCTTGCTTCTCAATTCTCATAATCCGGTGCCCTATTTTTCGTTTGAAAATGTCTTGGGATTCCAGCAAGTAGTAATTTCAGCAACGGATGGCACTGCTGCAAACCAAGTCTAAATATTTCAGACAATCCCCAAATGTATTGGCTTGGTTTGGTTCCATCCCTCTCACTCTCTTCCTCACTCTCTCTCTCTCTCTCTCTGCGCGTTTAATTATTCGCCATGCGGATACCGTAGGGCACAGCACGAGCAAAGCAAGAACGTAATTTTGGCTTGGCCAACAGTGACCCCGACGATGTTACGTGCGATTCTATTGACTCGGCTTTTGCCGGCGCGTCACGTGCCACGTGAACCAACTGAATTTTCGTAGAAACCGCGCTTATAAAGTGTACCTTGTGCGCGCAGTGTATTCACAATCGTGATCTAATTATTTAAATCGCCTACGTCATTGGGGCAGATCGATACCAGTCGACAAGCAGAACATAGGTTCGTATGTTGTCTATGGAACGAGATAGATTAGTACAAAATATCTGACGGTGTTAGGTACACGATACGCGGAGACGTTTTTCACTCGTTGCCTAAACCAATTTCTAGTTTCGCACATAACCCTTCATCATAAGTTAATAACTAACTTTAACGAAACTACCAGACGATTGTATGGTTACGTATAAATGCAAGTTCATAAACTTGCATTTGGGAATGCATCTGGAGATTGCTTTAAAGGCGATACGCATATTCAGTCTGCTAATTATAAGCTGAGAACAGAAACGATCTTCGTCCTTCTTTCTCTCTCTCTCTCTCTCTCTCTCTCTGTACATCTCTCTCTTTCTCGGTTGACATAAAGTGAATTAAACGGATATTCGCGGCGGTTCACAGTGACAAGGATCGCCGCTAAGTAAGCACGAATTAACATTGCCGACAACATGCCGAAGAGCAGTTAACACAAGATATGGAGACACGAGCCACTAACACAATAACCACGAGCCAGTCTTGATCGAATACCTGATCCTACTACTCGCTTACATTCCAATGTTATCCCGGAAATTTGTCTTCCTCTCGGCTGAGGTGTTTTCCTGATTTATAAAATAGGATAAAGCGAGAGACGTTTTGGATAGCAGAGGAAATTTTTCGACCATTTGCCCATTCAAATTCTGCAAAAATTGCAATAGAGTTTGGTAAAATTGTTACAAGAATAGGGGACAAATTATTCTGTCATATGTAAAGTATTGCTTGTTATGCTGTTAACGCGTTATACTGTAAATATCAAAAAAGCAATAGTAATTTAATGTCCGGAATTAAATAACATTTTGTTAAACATTAATATTTTCTTTTTTTAACTTTCACGTGTGTCAAAATTTAATTTAATTCTCATTTCTGTGATTAGTTTTAAATTAAATAATGTTTTTTTAGACAGAAATAAAAGATACGTATTTTTTTATAAAGATCAATCGCACTTTTAAAGTTTGCAACGTTTTTTTGAAAAAATGGATTATTATTTTCGAAGTGAAGATCATTAAAACTGTAAGAGATACAAAAAAATGTTTGAAATAAAAATTGAATTGTTTTAAGAGTATTTAATAATTATAATTAAATTTGTTATTTAAATAATGTCGTTTTTAATTATTATTATTATTGTAAAGTACTTTTCAAATCATTCAACTTTCATTCAGAATATTTTTTTCTGTCTTTTAAAATTTCGACCGTCGCGTCACCAAAATCGGACATTGCATATTTCCTTTTTAGCAAATATAATAAACTAAATTTGATTCAAATTTAATTTAATTTAATTTAATTTATTGTGTATCAATAAAATTAATATATTTTTTAATTAAATTGTTTTTATCTCTCTCTCTCTCTCTATTCTTTTAAATTAACAACCTATTGAACAGTGATAACCTATAAATGATTAAAAATGATTCAAATTGGATACAATTTTTTACATTTTAACTGTACTATATATACAAGATTGATACTTTACGAAAATAGAGATTGAGATTAATTCCCTCTAGAAATTCTTTAAATAAAAATATATTGTATGCTCTATTTATTCGGATTTATCTTCCTCCTATAATTGCGCCGTTATTCAATATGGGGCAATGCTCCAGACGTAACGAGACATAATAATTTGTCGATATCTCTATCTTGTAACAATTTTGAGAAATTTCTATCGCTACCGGGAATTCAGGTGGGCTACGAATGGAAAATAATCGACAAATTTCTTTCTCTAAAACGTCTCGCTTTATCCTGTTTGATAAATTAAGAAACCTCCTTATTCGAGAGAAGACAAATTTTCGAAATAATAGTGGTACTTCTAGTATTTAAAAAAAAAAAGAGAAATGCTCAGGACATGAATCATACTAATGACCATGACACACAAAAAAACTTAAACAGTAAAACGTAAGCAGTAAATTTGGGGGCCAATCACAGTAGAAACCATAAAGCCCTAACGTAAGAATAATAGCAAATCAAACACATTAATTTTCTTACAACTTAAGTTTTTTTTTTAGTCATGGTCCTAAGAGTTGAATAATTGATTA